TTTTGTGCACCAAACCTCTAATATTGGACCAAATAGGATGAAATTTGGCAATTACGACCGAATTTAGTCTAGAAACTAGTACTACAAATTTCTTTAAGATCGGTTCAGATATAGTTATAGCTCCCATATATATTGTTCATCCGATTTATTGTATTTGTTACCCACAGCCGTAATATGCACTCCGTAACAACGATATTCAGGGTTCAGATTTGGATATAGCTCTAATATATATCATTATCCGATTTCAAGTTAAGTGTGCCTCAAATAGGCAATACAATCCCCACTTGAAAATATACAAATTCTTCGGCAAATTAAGTCCTTTGAACTTAAATTATAATTATAGCTTGTATGATTTAATTATCCCACAAAAACTTTTAATTGTTATGTGAAGCTATATTAAATATGCTCGATGGTGTAGGGTATCATAAAGTCGGCCCCGCCCGACTTTAAGACTTTCTTTACTAGTTTGTTTATAAAATAGGTTTTTTTTTTGACTTTCGGCTAATTCAATTCGAATATACACCACAAGGTCAGGTTTTCGTTTATTTGTTTATTTGTCAACTACCAAATGATCGCAACTTCGTATGCGGAAAAGGAATTCATATTGAGTGAATTTATGTTTGATACACTAAATATAATGCATTGTAGCACTATTCACTATTTCTCTTTCAAGTTATAACTTGAACTTAATTAAAGACCAATCGAAATTAAAAAAAAATATAAGAGTATGGAAGTCATTAATTTTCTGTCTACAAAACTTCTAAAACTGGGTACAAAAGTATTGTAGTTTTGTATTTGTCTTTCTTTGTAAAGTAATACCGAAATGCACAATTCTAGCTAGTTTACTACTTTACGTACCACATTTCGTACCATTAAGTAATTCGGTTCACATTTGCAAATCAACCTCTTTATATAAAAGCCAAACATTCACAGCTAGCTTTATTCCTTCACTCCCTACTATTTAATACATTACACACATTATATAGCATGTCCTTAAAATAGTTACTCAAAAAAAAAAAATAAAATAAATAAATAAATAAATAAAATAAAATAAAAAAATAAAATATATAAATAAATAAATAAAATAGTTCATCTCTATTCCTAGAATTTTACCTCTAAACGCTTACTTATTTCCAAATGGTAACAATGAAGTGTTATTTGAACTTTAAGTACACTCAAATTCAAATTGTTCCCAATTTGGTGTCATATAGTACAACTCTCACATTTAGTACGCATTTCAAAGACCACCTCCGCATAACACGAAATTTTAACAAATTTAGAGTTTAGTTTAGAGTACATCCTATCCCAAACCTAATAAGCGGCCCTCATTCCAAATTTCAGAATTCTAGCTCCATCCAATTAAAAAAATACAAGATTAGTAACGTTTAGTTCATTTAGTACCCTCCTAGTACGAATTTTAATAAACCTAGACTTATCTCATCCCCACTCACCAACATCCAGCGGTTTCGCTTGCACGTTGATAAATCAGTTACTCACTCATTGTTCCACTCATTTACATATATAGATTACTATTCCTGTACATAATACCAAAGTATTAATTTCCAAAACCACTTCATATCCCAACACTACACTCACTACATCCCAATCCAACACTGCGTCAGTAATGTTAATTGCAAATTTGTGGATTGTAGCTTAAATTGTGCCAAATTTAGTACCGTTTAGTACTTTTCTACAGGGTGAGATAAAAAACAGCAACAAAGCACACGTCATAATTTTCACATTTTTTTTTTATATTTTATTGAATGAAAGCAAAAACATTTCGGAAATAGCATCAAATTTTAGAATAAGTTTAGATTTGTTCGTATTGGTCACCTTTGGCACGAATTATGGCCTTCAAACGGCCAATGAAACCACACGTCACACGCTGCCCAAATGTTTCTCTGCGGTATTTTGGCCCATTACCGGCGAAACGCTTGCTTGAGATGGTCGACACCTTGGTATTTTTTAGTGCCAACCTTGCTTTCCAAAATACTCCAGACACAATACTCCAACGGATTGGTATCCGGAGATTTTGGTGGCAATTGTGCGCTAGAAATGAGGCGAGAAACCTCATTTTGAAACCATTCTTGGGTGGCGAGTGCTGAATACTGTTGGAATGTCCAAGATCTACGGCCGAAATGTCTGCGTGCCCAAGGCTTTAATACACCCTTCAGAATATTATCGCGATAATATTCTGCATATATTCTGATGCCACGGTCGATTAATACGAGCGGAGAGCGACATCGGTGGTGCCCACACCATCACTATAGCCGGCGCTTGAGTTCTGGTGGACAACCGAAGGTGCGCATTTTCAGCTGACCTCTTTGGCAAGTATAGACGATCATTTTGTTTGTTTACAAACTGCTGGACAACGAATGTTTTCTCATCGGAGAAAACCAAATTCGGTAGTTCACCACTTTCGGTCAAGCGAAGCAACTCTTTATCTCTTTTGACTCTATTTTCTTTCTGTTGCGGTGTAAGTTCTGGCACTTTTTAGAATTTCAATGGCTTTACCCCGAGGTCTTAGAAATGACGGCATTCTGAAGTTGTTTGAAGTTCTTTCATCTCACCCTGTATATCTCTATATATCAATCCCTTGCGGTCTTATGTTTAATTTATGGCTTATTTTTTACACCCTAACTTTTATTGATACAGTCATAAGCGGTCTCATCGATATTAGTGTTTTTGACTCATAATTCGTACCAAAGGTGACCAAACCGAACAAATCTAAATTTTTCTAAAATTTGATGCTATTTCCGACATTTTTTGCTTTCATTATAAAATTAAAAAAAAAAAATGTAAAAATTATGACGTTTGTCTTTGTTGCAGTTTTTTTTGTCTCACTCTGTATTTGAACAACTTAAGTTTCACACAGGGTAGCATAAATGTCACGAAAGTAATGACAAAACTAAAATACGATCTTTCTCTTATCTAGTGTGTTCAATGTTCTTCTATTTGAGATTCTTTAGCAAGTTTCAAATAGTTTTCAATTTGTTTATAGTTTTAAATTACAAAAGCATTCTCTTAGTTTTCTATAATCTTAAAGAGATATATTTTGTGTATGGTTACGTTTTCTCTATTTTCATTCCTAAATTATTTCAATGTTTTGTTTTTACTTTTTTGAGAAAATGGCAAAAAAATACACACAAGAAAACGAAGAAAAAACGGCAGCGCGTAATGACTGTATCCGTGGCAAATTTTATATTTTTATCTGTGTCTATATCCGTTTCGTTTCGTATCGCTGTGCTTTTGTAAGTGTTTGTGTGTTCGCTTTCAAATGTGAATGCGAAAAGTTGGTATTTCATAGAAAACAAAACAAAATAAAACGAACAACACGAGAAAAAGAAGCAAATTATTTTTGAAATTGACCTTGAAAATGTTGTACTTTAAAAGCGAATGATTTATATGCCTTAAATTGAAAAGAATTGAGAAAAAAGAGGAGCATCGAAAATTTAATTTGCAATAATAAATTAGGTAAATTTAATACGATGAAAGGGTGTTTTAATTGTGTGAAATGAATAATTTCAAAATTTACATAATTCAATTTTTTCTTCGTTTGTTTGTTAGTTTGTTCGGTGCGGTGCTTTTGTTATTCTTGCGCTTTAAGAAGGCATATTTACATAAACTCATTTAGGCATTAAAAATTTATATGAGAAAATGAACAAATGCAAGTTGAGTGGATATTTTTTCAAGGTTTTTGGATAGGATGGGACATTTACTTCAATTGAGGAGGAATTGGTCAAGTTGTTACTACGGAAAAGATATTGCATCGAACCGGTAAATGGAAGTATAGATAAAATCTGCAAGGAATTGACAAAAGTCACATCAGTTATGATTATTATTGAATGAATTGAATTTTAGTCTTTTGAATGCATTTTTTGCCTTTGTAAAGTGAACTAGTTTATGGCAACAACTAGTTTTAAAAAAAAAGAGCTAATTCATTATGTACGTGATCACCAAACACCATTGCTATTGAGCGTATACAGGGTGAGATGAAAAAAACTGCAACCAACTTCAGACTGCTGTCACTTCTAAGCCACTCGTCCGACAGCTGTTAAAATTATTCCAGTGACAGCTCATTATATTGTTTACAAGCGAACAAAAGCATTTTGGTGAGAATTTTCCAGAAAAAAAGTTATTCGTGATGGAATTCAAGCGTGATAGTGTTATTTTTTTACATTTGGATGGAAAACCACAAGTGGCTATCGTTAGAGTACTCCAGCATTTAAATGCGAATAAATCTTTTATGTCTCGTATCATCGCTCGTTACCGCAATACTGGTAGCGTTGCCCGACATCAAGGAAGTGGACGGAAGAAAACAGCAACATCAGCAAAAATTGTTCGTAAAGTAAAGAAGCGGCTTGATCGAAACCCGCCTCGCAGTGGTCGAAAAATGGCTCGTAATATTCCATTCGGCAAATATTACAAATGAGCTCAGCGTAAAGCCATTGAAATAACAAAAATTGCAAGAACTTACACCGCAACAGAAAGAAAGTAGACTCAAAAGAGCTAAAGAGTTGCTTCGCTTACCGAAAGTAGTGAACTGCCGAATTTGATTTTCTCCGATGAGAAAACATTCGTTTTCCAGCAGTTAACAAAATTATTAAATTATAATTATTAAATTACTTGAGGTCAGCTGAAAATGTGAACCTTCGGTTGGCCACCAAAGCTCGAGCGCCGGCCATGGTGATGGTGTGGGCCGCCATAACAGCCAATGGTCGCTCTCCGTTCGTATTAATCGACCGTGGCATTAGAATAAATACCGAATAATATCGCAAAATATTCTGGAGGGTGTATTAAAGCCTTTGGACATAATCTCCACAGGAAACGGTCATACTCCCCATGGGGATTATGTCGGTTTGGAAGCGGAAAATAATAAATAAAATCGATTCTCAAAGATAGTACATTTTTCGAAACAAAGTTTGAAAACGTTTCCACAATAAATTTTGGTCATAGAATTAGCGATAAATTTACTAAAATTTTGGTTTTTAAAAATTTTCAATTTAAATTTAAATGATTCATTTATATGGAATATTATAATGGCAATTAAAACATTATTGAATTTCAATTGATTTTAAATCCCATTAACCTGCCATTGTACTCCGCTTAAATTGAAATGGCGCAAATGCTTCACCAGATCCTGAATAGAATTTGGATTGGAATTCAACCCAATGTAAACGTAGTGTGTGTAAAAATGCCGACAATCCCTCCATAACAACCAATATGGCCAACGTCAAGATTGCCCAGAAACCAAAAACCACTACCAACAGCAAACTATTCATGTAGCCCCAACGGCCAGTGAGAGCTATTTTCAATACCATATTCCAGAGGACGCTTGAAAGTTGATCATGGGCCAGTGACAAGGCCCACAGACGCAAATATGAGGCTGTGTGAGAGACCGCACCCAAAACACTTTCTATGCAGTGGATACCTTAAGGGAGGTGGATTGGAAGTATCACATCTGTAGAAAAGCAACTCAAAACTTACCCGAATGTATCCACAATTCGCTAACATCTTGTTTTTCGATTTCCAAGCTCTTGCGAGACGATAACACGAATCCCGAACCATCTACATTGTAAATCAACGATTTTCGAATACTTGATATATTATCTCGGGTTCGAGTTCGGCGAATAGCTTCATTTTTGATTTTCCGTATTTTTCGTTGCTGCAACATAAACCAAATGGGTTTGCCGGCTAACAATATCGGAACACAAAAGAGAGCAATGCCCAGCAATAGCATTTGTATGACGTCCTGATATTCGAACATCCAAATTTCACAACCTTCGGGGGGCATTTCAGGCCCCTTCATCAAGAGCATATTTATGAAAATTATAAGTATGGAAGGGGCACATGCCGAGTTGTAGGGCTGTTCAAAATGTCCACCATAATTAGACCATTTGAAGAATATGAGGAATACCAAATAGGCAAAAATACAAAGCAAAAACAAAAATTGTGGAATAAAAACTAGGAGAAGATCAACAAAGTCGCGTCTGTAGATGTGATTGAGAGCCGACAGGATAAGGCCAAATGTCATTTGAAACACACCCAAGATAACGGCAAGTTTCATTTTAAAAGAATTCGAAGTTGTTATGGCATTTTCTCCGGATGCCTTCCATATGGGATCAAATCCCATGATATATGGGGTACCCCGAAAGTTGTCCACCCGGGCAGGATCCAATTGCAATTCATGGGAACTCATTACCGTCGACTGATTATAGCTAATTGACCAGGCAGATCCAAAGAGGTTGAATGATTTCGAAAAACAATCATTGTAAATTATTCCGGTGTAGATAGAAAATGCACCCATTAAGGCAATAATGTAACGCCCAGCAAACAAAATATTCCAAATTTCACTGGATGTCCTTGCCAGACGTTGCTTTTCCTCCAGAGATTTTTCGTACAACAACATCCAAAGGCCAAACAGGAACATTATCAAACCGTGGCCAATGTCACCAAACATGACGGCAAAAAGGAAGGGGAATGTGACTATGGTATAGGGAGCTGGGTTCAATTCCTGATACTCGGCTATGCCATAGGCATCGATAAGATTTTGAAAACCCCTTGTAAAACGATTCAATGAAAAGTAGGTGGGCTTTTCTTTCGACGCCAAAGATCGCTTATGGACGACATTTAAAAGCGGCATGAACATGGAACTGCTGTTGTCCTGCGATGAACGACGTACTCCTCTTGCCAAAGCCCTCCTTACCGACTCCATGTGCTTTGTGGGTATCCAACATTCAGCCTGTAAATATTTCCCCAAATGCAAGTGGCGCACACGTCCCATGCGATTCAGGATGTGGTAGACCATTAAAATTTTCTTTAGCTTAATCTTCCAAATATACAGATCCGCTGCGGCTATTAGTAGAATACGGTACTGCTCACTCTGAGATTGTTGCAAAATCTTATCCAAATCCAGCAAATCTTCTGATATTTGCATTATTTCCTGCTGACGCTCCTTGGCCGCCTCAGGACATTGAAAAAGTTTTATGCCAAAACCCTGACAAACTTTTGCCACCTGGGCCTTTAGGCCACGACCCACAAAAAATAACATGAAAACAAATTTCTTCACACTTGCTGCCGATAGACGGGCCACATCGTTTTGAGGAAATTCCACCTGGAAATGTTTGAGCAAAAAGTTTCCCATAGTTATTCTCCACAGCATCACTTCGAAGGCATGAAATCTCTCCATGGGAATGGTGCCGGCAAAGAAGGACAAATGTATGTGTTCTTTGGTCATTGGTCTCAGTTCATCGTGGATCAACTGCATTATAACACTATCCGTCCAGGCCATTACAGCTTCGTTGTTTTGGCCACCGCTTAAAAATTGATTGGCAACCTTCAACACTTCCAACTGTTCATGCAACAAATTCCGTTGTTTTCTCAAACTGCCAGTATTTTGTTCCATGTTCATAACGTTTTCAAATGGCTGCTCTACAATCGCCTCTAGATCCTTGAGGTCCGTTGCCTTTGGTATTTCTTCTGCGTCAACATCGGGATAAAAAACTAAATTTATATTGAAAGCTTGTATTTCCTTTTCCAAATAGTTGATCATCCGTTGAAGTTCATGGCATCTACGAATTTCGGTTATATATTGATTATTGTTTGTACCGCCTCCACCTCCGCCTCCAGGCTCATTGCTGATATTCCGAAACTGCACTTGGCCCAAATAACCCAATTCAATGAGACAATTAAAAGCCGATTCGCTGTGTAAGATAATTTGACACAATGTCATAGATTCACTGCGAAAGAAGGCCATATTGCGGAAATTATGACTGATGTTTGGGAAAATATTTAATTGGCCTAATTTATTTTTTGGAATGTATTTTTTATAAAATTGTTTTTTGGCTTGGTTTTTGAAAATTCGAACTAGAAAGCATGGTACATGGGTATGAAAGGTACTAAATATGGTACCATTTAAATTAGGCCAATATACAGGATAAGAAAAAAAAAACTACGACAAAGTCAAGCGCCATGATTTTTACATTTTTTTAAATGTCAAAAAATGTCGAAAATAGCATCAAGTTTTAGAATAAGTTTAGTTTCGTTCGAATTGGTCACCTTTGGCACGAATTATGGCCTTTAAATAGCCAATGAAACAGTCACACGCTGTCCGAATGTGATGTGGTGATAGACAATTTGGTATTTTTTAGTGCCAACCCTGCTTTCCAAAATACTCCAGACACAATAGTCCAACGGATTGGTATCTGGAGAGTGTGGAGTGCGATTGTGCTGAGTCCTGTTGGAATGCCCAAGGTCTCCGGCCAAAATGTTTGCGTGCCCAAGGCTTTAATACACCCCACAGAAGATTTTCGCGATAATATCCGGCATTTGTTCTGTTGCCAAGGTTGATTAATAAGAGCGACCGTCGACTGTTATGGCGGCCCACACCATGGCCGGCGCTTTGGCGAGTAAACACGATCATTTTGTTTGTTTACAAACTGCTGGACTACGAATGTTTTCTCATCGGAGAAAACCAAATTCGGCAGTTCACCACTTTCGACCAAGCGATGCAATTCTTTAGCTCTTTTGAGTCTATTTTCTTTCTGTTGCGGTGTAAATTCTTGCGCTTTTTGGAATTTCAATGGCTTCGCCCCAAGCTCATTTTTCCGAATGGAATATTGCGATATGTTCAGCTCACGAGCATTTTTTCGGGTTTCGATCGAGTCGCTACTTTACTTTTCGAACCATTTCTGCTGATGTTGCTGTTTCCGTCTGTTCTTCTGTCCACTTCCTTGGCGTCGGCTACGTATATCATGGTAACGAGTGATGGTGCGAGACATTCGCATTCAAATGCTGGAATGCTCTAATAATTTTAACAGCTGTCGGACGAGTGGCTTAGAAATGACAGCAGTCTGAAGCTGTATTTACATTTGTTAGGGATATGCAATTATACCCTCAGCCATATAGCTACAGGGGGCATGCATCATTTGATACGGCCAAAACGTGCCTCATCGAAATAACGGTTTTAGACTCTAGGTCTCTTTGGACCGAATCCGTTTCAACTCCTTCTGGTACCTCCCCCATATAAGAGAAAGGATAATCAATACATTTTATTTTGCTGCAACTTTGGAAGTCCAAATATTTTCATCAGCGCTAGTTCAGATGCGAAAATGGACAATATCGGTCCACCCCCACAAAGTGTCAACATTTTGAATTATTACAACTCTTCTAAAATGTGATGTAAGATTCCGATTGACTTCAAATAACACACATCACAATATTTTTATTAACCTGAGGTCTGGTCTGAGGATGGAATATATCGGTGTACTCCTTCTGGTACCCCCCTCCACAAAGGGTCGACATTTTGAATATCCATTAAGCTCATAAATCGCGAAGTTAACATCCAATTCCATTCAGACTTTGTACTTTTCAATATTTCCATCAACACAAGATATGTTATAGAGAACCTCCTCTACATGGGGTTCAAGATTTTGAAAAACTCTTTATTTCTCTTTCTCTTTCTTTCCTCAAATTTCACCCATACAAAAATTTTTGCTAACAGAAGATATGTTTTGAAGACCATATATCTATATATCTGCGAACCTCTCCTTGTACCTCATCCACAAAGCGTCACAATTTTCAACCAGAACCCTGAGATGAATATGGAATTTATGATTTCGAATAAATTTGGATATAAGTGTTCAGTTTTTTGTAATTTTGTCCATATATTTTTTTTATCTGTATTATATGAAGTGAGAAAATGGAATACTTTGGTCGACTATATCTGATACGTCACACATATTTTAACATTTTCCAAAAATTATCACTTATCTCATATCTCTCTTTATAAAATCCTTCAGATAAAGTTAAATTTATTAGGGAATCTGTGATACACATTATTTTAATCTCATTTCAGGCTGAAAGCATCCAAGTTACCGGAATATAGAAGTGTAATATTAGTGGGGCTGATGCAGAAGCTTAACTAAGGGAAAAGAGAGCGTCTAGGTATCAATGCCACGAATCCTGTCTACGACAAATATTTCGAGGATTTTATCTTCGAAATCGATATTCCAAGATCCGCGACGGCTTACAAAAGTCTCCAATTATCTAGCATCTTTAATAGTTTCCGTTGTTCACTTTATACGTATAGTATTATATATAAGTATATACTTATACCTACTTGTGATACCAAAGACGTCTAGCATAGAGTGTTGTTTTTTCAGCCTTATTTTTGTTCTTTTAGTTTAGTCTTTGTTTAGGTAGTAGTATGACAACCCTGACCCACTAAAATCACCAACAAAAATAGATGTGTTCAAAACTTTTTCATTTTCACTCAACACACAATTATTTATCCCCAAAAACAAGTAACTTTTAAATACAATCAAATGCTATTGACACTTGGAATTTGCTTTTAATTAGAATCGTTGACCGAAATGTCAAAGATTGAATATCAACAAATTTTAATGTCCAAAAATAGATCAGACTTCAGATTTCTTTAATGGAAAACAAAAGAAAAGAAAAAACAAATGTTAAATGTTGTCAACAATTACGGACTATTGACCTATTTCACCATCACCACACATACACATACATTCACACAAACACTCTCACGTGCCCAAACAATTGCAGACTCATTCTGCTGCTGTTGGCATTGGTGATGATTGCTCATGAAATGCGGAATGTACTACAGATTCTCTTTAAATTTCACATATACCAATATTTTACCATAAAATGATCTGGTGTAAAGATAGAGTATAGCGGTTACCTCCCCCACAAAGGGTCTAAATTTTGAATAACCAAAACGCTCATAAAATGCGAAATCAGCATCCGATTATTTTCAAGCTTCGCACATCCCAATATTTCTATCAAAACAAGATCTGATGTGAAGATGGGATATATCGGGCCACCCCTTTGAATACCTTCCTCGCAAAGGGTCAAAATTGGAAATATATAAAACGCTCATATACAATATGATCAGATTCTCTTTAAATTTCGCTCATCCCAAGATTTTAACTATTACGAGATAGGGAGTGGCAATTAGATTGGATGGCTCACACTTTCTGGTGCCGCCTCCACAAAGGTCAACATTTTGAATAAGATCGGAATTAACGGTCCACTCCTTCTAATACCTCCCCCACAACGGGTCAACATTTTGAATAATAATAACTTTTATAAAATGTGAAATTGGAGTCCTATTGTCTTCAAATTTCGTACTTCCTAATATTTCTACCAACACAAGATCAGGTAACAACGGGAAACAACGAACTTTTCCTTCTGATACCTAGCCCACAACGGATCAATATTTTCAATAAAGTAAAATTTAGGATAATACTACACAAAATCTACTACTGTTCTCTTTTTCTGGTACCTCCCCCACAAAGTGACAAATTTTTGAATAATTAAACCTATCATAACGTACATAATATGTCAACCATTATCTTCAAACCTTGCATTACAATATTTTAACAACAAGATATGATTATAAATTCTAGTTCGAATGTCGAAGAACAAAAAATTAAATTTTCCCTTTAAAATATATAAAACATGTCAGAAAAGTGTTCATTTCGGAATGGGTCCGCCTGCATGCAGCACCCTAGGATCAAACATACATATTAGATCTTAAACTTTCGATTTCGATGCTGCATGTTAAAATTTCTCCCTCTCTCTACTTTCTAAAGTTTTATGAAGGAAAAATCTATGAAAACTTTTCTCCAATAATCTTTGTTATTTCAACAAAATAGAAATGTACTCTTTTGTTATTAATCCATTATTTTGTTGTTTATAGTTTAATGCCAGGGAAATGTTTATCTGTATATACATACAGGCAAATGTACATGCACACATACACATTAATAATACACACAAGTGTTATGGACATGCTAACCGATATAAACAAGAAAATGGGCCCATTAATGACGTCAATTGATCAGTTCACAAGGGGGCCGAAAAATGGATCATTTTTTAAAATCATTTTGTTATTGTTATTCGTGCGTTTGACTTCTCAAATATTTAAAAGAAAATAAAACAAGCATTGCTTTATATCCATACTCACTCCTCTTCAAGGTAAGGGGTAAACAGATGACCTCTTATATGAAAGTATTCTTTTTTCTTTTTGTTGCCCTCAAAAATTCAGGGTCAATATAAAAAAGGGAAATATATGGAGCAATCGAGACAAGAGAAATGTTTATATTTTGGAATGAAATTACCAAGGCCTATATAAGGTCCCATCTGACAACTAAGTTTGTTGTCAATTTAAATATTGTGATTTAAAATTTAAATGAAGTCAAATCACAATAGAGTAAAAACTACCAGGTTTATTGTCAATTAGTTGCCCAAAGTAGTTTTCCTGTCCGACCTTAAATAGGGATTGGAAAGTACAAACCATGGCCTAAATAAAGTAGGACAGTAATCCAATCTGACAACTATGTTTGCTTTATTACTACTGCTACTACTACTTTTATACCCTCCACCACATATAGTATGGAGGGTATATTAAGTTCGTCATTCCGTTTGTAACTCATCGAAATAATCATTATACCCTACACCACAAGGTGGCCAGGGTATTATGTCTCTGTGTATTTGTTGGTAACAGGCAAAAGGAAACGAGATAGACCCATAGTTCCTTTTGATGCTCTTCATACAATCACATTCTGAGTCGATTTATGCATGTCCGTCCATCCGTCTGTCCATGTATTTTTGTAAACAACGTACAGTTCGCATTTATTGCCCTATCCAGATGAAATTTTGCACAAATCATTTGTTTGGCCCTATTGAAATTGGAGATAATCGGTAAAAATTTAGATATAGCTCCATATAGCATCAAACGTGTAATATCAGCCCGAATTGTATGGAATTTTGCACATACAACCAAATTAAGCCTGAAAATAAGAAATCGGTTTAGATATAACTATAGCTCACATATATTTATATTGTAC